TAGATTTCCAAAGGAAAGCTCTGATACTCTTGACGGAGGCAGTCAGTTGGAGATTCCAACTGCCTATCCTTCAGATTTCTCTTAGCAGGCTTCTGTACTTAGTTAGCAGCAGCTGATTGGCTGTTACCAAAACTAAGTGGACTGTTAAGGCAGTCAACTGTAAAACTCAGCTAGGGCAGTCAGCTGTGAAAACTCAGCTCTTGATAGTTGGGTCTTTAATCTATACAGAAGAAACAAGACTAAAATATAAACAACAATCCCCTCCCCCAAAAAAATCCAAAGGAGAGAGACATACACTAAAGGTATTTATAGTAGTAAATACTACAATGAGCATCCTTCTATGATAGTAATTGATGTAATCACTTTTCTGTGATAATGGAATAGGTACAGAAGAGTCAGAAGGGGGAGGAGATGGCTTCTTCTTTGGTTGAATTCACAATGTTTGTTGTCACAGAAGAGAAACACCCCAAATACATTGTTTTAGACAGTTGTGTAAATTCAGTTCTGGATACTGAGTATTCAGTCTACAGTGTAGACGCTATACAGAAGAAATATGAGTAAAATATAAAAAGAAAAGATAAGCAGGGAGGAGTTAGAAGTAATTATGATAATGAATATTAAAATAAGCTCTCATCTGTAATACTAATTTAATGCAATCAATTGTCTATGACAATGAAATAGCTACAGATTAAATGATTGGCCAGAAGTTAGGGCCCTTCTTTGATACAATTTGCAGTCTTTGGTGCAGAGGAGAGGGAAATTCAAAATGTGTGGTTTGTCATGGGAACTTATGAAAACAAACATAATAATGAATGGCATGGGTAACTGGAGTTGTTTAACTTGTCAGTTTAACTGTTAAATGAGTTGAAACAAATTAAAAGACATTGCCATTTATTTTTATGTAGCTTCCAAGTTTGACTCAAACTAGAGAAGGAAATAGTATAACTGTCAGGTAAGCGGAATCATCTGAACTTAATAAATTGAGACTCATGTGACTGAAGAAAGGAGTTGCAGAGGTAATCAAATACTTTTTCTCTGTAAAGAAGCTGTCGTAAGCACAGTGTAGAATGGCTGCCACACTAATCTTACTGAATGAAAAGTGAACTTAGAGAAACACCTTAACTGAAAACATATCAGCTGTTCAAGATTAACAGAAGCTAGAATCCCCCTAGAGAAGAAGATAGTGTTGGGTAAAGGGAACATCAACTTAGGGAAACTGATGATAGTGAAGGGAAAATGAGATAAAGGTAAGTGTCACCCAGTGCAGTGATAGGTCAAGTCTATTCATTTCTGATAGACTTGATTTTCCTAATTTGTGGCATCTCCGCGTGCTTGATTTTCCTAATTTGTGGCATCTCCGTGTGTTGACTAAACCTGCCTGGTCCACAGATCTTGGTTCTGAGCTCACCGGTGACCAGGTAGTAACGATCTTGAAACATGCTTGTTTTACTTACTTTTTTATTACTGTGATAAAATGATGCCACTACCAAGCAACTTGGAGAGGGAAGAGTGTATTTGGGATTCTGGTTCAGAGGGTTAGATTCTATGATGGCAGAGTGAAGGCATGGGCAAGCGCAGGAAGCTGAGGACTCACATCTAGAATTGCAAGCCTAAAAGCGAGAGATTGAACTCTCAAAGTCTGCCTTGAGTGGCACATTTCCTCCAACAAGGTGGCATGTCATAAACCTCCTAAACGGTGTCATCAATTGAGGACCAAGTGTTATATTTGTCTGAGACTATAAGGGACAAATCATCCCAACCACCATGAACCCTAAAGTGCCTTCTGTTGGTAAACTAAAAGAGTAAGTAAATGAGACAGGACCCTGAAAAAGGGTGTGCAGTTGGTGACAGAGCCACAGGGACCTGAGACCACATCTGCTGTGTCTCCCTTGAATCAAGTCTCCCAAATCTCCTCCCTACCTGAGTGTTCATGGTCTCTCATGTTAGTGTTTCTGTCAGGCACCAACCATGGCCTAATGCAATGAAATGAAATGAACAATGTATGCCTACTTACTAAAAGGAATTAGAGCAACAGTGAGGATAACAAACAAACTGGAGACCTAGCGCACAAATCATTTCTATTAAAACGATGAGGAAAGCTTATGGGTTCTAATGGTGCCATGTCATTTGATTTAAATGTTTCAGTAAATATAACAAGATACAATGAGCATATCTCAACGTTCAAATTATTCTTACTCAAAGACATAATGCTGGTATACTTTGTCAAACTAGTTCTTCCCTCTCTTTTCTTGTGAAAAAAATTTCTCAAGGTGAATGAAAACTTGGATTTTTTTAATTGAAAATGTTTTTGTACAATATATTATGGTCATAGATTCCCCACCCCATCCCCCGTTCTTACTTGATCCTTCTCATCTTCCCATCCAGCTCAATGCCCTTTTAGCCTCTCTCCCTCTAAACAGACACATAGGGAAAGAGAAAACACCCAAGAAGCACACACACACACACACACAGATTCACAAACGCAAAAAGCCCCATAACTGGAAACCATGACATAAAAACCAGAGACCAGTGGCACAAACATAAAAATGTATAAACAAAATAATAGGAGACAAAAGGTCTATAAAAATGCCACTGTGCTTGTTTGTGTTGATCACCTACTACTAAGCGTGGGATCTACCCTAAAGGTTGGTTAATATACCCGGTGAGACTCCATGGAAGGAAACTTATTTTCCCTGTGCAATGCAAACTGATGCCAATGGGAGATGCCTTTTAGGTTAGGGGTGGGAGCCCATGTCTACTGCCCTTCTCAATGCTGGGATCCCATCTGGCTTTAACCAGTCCAGGCAATATGCATGCTCCACAATCTCTGTGATTTCGCATGTATATCAGTACTGTTGTGTCTTGAAACACTGTTTGCCTGGAGTCATCCATCTTCTCTATTAAAATCTTTCCACCTCCTGTTTTGCAGAGTTCCCTGAGCCCTGGGGAATGGTTTAATGAATACATCCCATTTAGGACTGAATATTCCAAAAGCTCTCACTCTCAGCATACCGTCCAGTTGTACATCTCAGTGTTAGTTCTCATCTATTACAAGAAGTTTCTCTGATGATGACTGAGTGAGGCACTCATCTATGGGTATATCAGAATGTTGATAGGAGTCATGTTAATGCTGTTCCTTTGACAGAACAATATTGTTCAGCTTTGCCTGAGGCCCATGACCTACCCAGTCTCAGTTTCTTGGCAAGCTGAGCAGTGTTAGGTTCCATGTCATGGAGCAGGCTTTAAATCCAATCAGGAAAGTGATGATGCAGGCAGATCAGCTTTGTAGAGCACAAGCTTTGTCTCTGGATTGGTGGTTACTTTCCCCCTCTGGTAGCTTGATAAAGGCATCGGCTCAACTTCTCTGTATTTACTGAGATATGTAGGTGCTGTCTTCGGCAATAGGGTCTTGCCAATAGTTTGTGGAAAACAAATAGCACATGAAAGTTTCAGACTTTTTCAAAGGTTGTGTGGTTTGCATGCCTTTGCTCCTGGCACTTACAGGCAGAGGCAGGCCTATCTCTATGGATTGAAGAACACACTGGTATCCATAGGGAGTTGTAGGAATGCACAGAGAACTCCTTTCTCTGAAAATAACCAAGTTAACTAAAACAAATAGACTTCCCTGATAATATAAAAATGGTAAATTCAAAATCCACTGTGTAATTGAACATTCTGCCATTAAATGTTCTTAGAGAAGCAAAGTAAATTTTGATGGAGAGAAAACACTATTAGTTGAGTAGTAATCACGAGCTCCCCGGAGTCTGGAAGTGCAATCTACTTAAAGTTGTCAAGTTGGTCTAGTACCTGGCTTCTTGCAGGCTGGCAAAAGTCATGAGATCCCTAGGTTAGAGGCAAAGGCATCATTACTCACAGACACAAGACAAGCCAGAGTGTCAGCATGAAGCTCTTTTTCATTCCATCACTTCCCAAGTCCAACAGCATTTCCTAGGTTTCCATAACATAGGACTGCATACTGTGTAGAATATGCAACTGAATGTTTTTCACAATTCTGGAGGCCAGAAGTCTAATGTCAAAGTGTTACCATCTGTGATTTCTTCTGAGGGCCCTGAGAGACTCTTTTGCTCTGGCCTCTCCCATAAGTTAGTAGGTGCTTATCTTGTCCGCGTCTTTGCTTCATCTTCTCTTTGTGGAACTTGAGACCCAAGTTTCCTCAGCTTAAGGACAGTAGACATTTTCAGTTCAAGCATCTTTCAATGACCTCATTCTCCAAATAGGGTCTCATTCTAGGGCTTATGATGGATTTTGTAATGAATGACTTTGTCTATAAGAGCCTTACACAGGTCATGAGATATATCACAGGGAGAAACATACAGACATTAGGAGAGTCACCATTGAAACTGAACTGATTTTGCTACTTCCTCACACCTGTTGGCTGCAAGCACAACCCTAAGAAAAGCCCTGGTAAAGGAACCAGAGACTTTCATTCTTTCTATACTTAGAAAGTACATGCAAGGAAGCTTGGGACCATGTAGATAAATCTACATAGTTCAAGCATTGTCAAAATAGTAAAAGAAAAATTTAAGATTGTCAGTTCTATCATCCTTAGAGCATTTATTTATCCATGTTCTTGATCTGATGGTTGATCTAGGATCATGAATCTCACTTCTCCTACTGTTACCTATATTGAAGAAAAACCCAAGACCCAACCGCTCTCTGTCTCTCACAATGACCATACTTTCACATACTTTAAATACCCAGTAGGAGATACATTTAGGATGTAGTCATGTGTGTGTCTATGTCAGGGTTTTGTTGGTTGGCCAATTGTCACTTGGGTGCTGAGATCAAACCCAGGCTGTGTGCTTGCTATGTAAACACTCTACCTCCAGCTTTATCGTGTACCTTTGTCACATGATATAAAATAGTTTTAACTGGGAGAGATGTTTTATTCACCTCTGTATAGTTGTTTTCATGTCTAAAAATTCAAAACAATGTTTTCAGAGTAACTGAAGAGAATTAACTTACATTTATTTCAACAGATGGAGTCACCGCTTACATATATTTTGATTTTACTTTTGAATGTGTTTGAATTTTCATCAGGAGTGGTATATAATAAATGTAAGTATCAGATTGTTTTCTTTCAAGGAGTTCTTATTTATATCCTTTCCTCATTTGTGGTTCAAATATTGTATATTTGACATTTTTCTTGACAATATATCCCCCATTGTTTTCGTGTATTATCTATTTACTCTGGCCCAGGTATCTAGTAATGTCATTGTAAACCAATTGTTACCAAGATGTGTATAAAAAAATTTAATAGCACTTTGCCACTTTCAAGCCATAGAATATTTACATTGAAAGCAGATTATACATGGCAACTAGTTTATTATTTGAACAGATACAAAATCATTTACTTGATGTATGTATTCTCTGGCTATCAAATTAAAGAATTTCCTGAAAGAAATATGCAGATAGAATTAGTTAAGAAAATTTTAGGAATAGAAAGATTTTCTTAAGGAAAAATTCCACTTCCATAGTGTACACATTTTTAAGAACTTCCTGAACACTAGAACACATGCTAGAATGCAGTGGTGTTTTATAAATTCCTACCTTCTATTCATAAATGTGTTGATGAATTTGATGAGCTATGGATTGTCCCAGTTTTTGTTCCAAATATTGTAGTAAGGAATTTCTGTTGTAGTCATGGCATAAGCCAACATTGGAGAGTCACAGGAGAGATGTCAGAGAAAAGAGTGATTGTATCTGGCTGTGGAAAGGCAGGATGTTAAGGCTGGCTTTACATAAAAAAGAACAGCCTGTCTAGCTCTTTAAAGTGGGTAAAATTCATGTAAGCACATATGAGAAAATGTATGTTTCAAAGGCACCATGGACTCATGGTAAAAAAACAGTTTGGAGACGCAATTGCAGGATATGTCAGGGAAGCAGGGCATCGTTCCTGTGACATGACAGAAGGGATATAAAGACACTATTCTGAAGACTGGGAGCTGCTTGCATGTGAGGCAAAGAAATACTGAGTTCAAGCTATAATCGGGAGGCTATTTACACTAATATGCCTACATAAACAAACTTAAGAGTAACACTAAAGCAATTATAGTGTACAAGCATCAGTAGAAGGTAAATTTATTCTTATTCTGACTAATTCTAACCCTAAATTGTTCTCCAATTCTGCTCTAATCCGAGTCCTTTCCAGGATATAGTTTATATACAATCCAATCCATTTCTAAGCAATGGAAACATGAGTAGGTCTGAGCTCTGGTCCCCAGTGCGAAGGAACAGTCCAAACACAGTTCTAGCCTATAATAGAGGCTTTTTCCGCTCCTGTTTGGACCATGCTGTAAGAAGCCTGCATTGTGCTTTCTTCCTCTGTTAATGTTTCAAGTTCATTTCGCTCTCTGGCATTAAACTTCAAACCTTTATGCTCCCCACTATAGATTGGGAGGGAGAAGCCACAAAGTGCCCCTGGCCTAACCTAGCAGGCCCTGAGCTGACCACCACAAAAACTGCGCCATCCAGAGTCAGCAGATGTAAAGCTGTCCCTTGGAATTAGTTCCTGCAGAGAACAAACTGAGCTATGGAGTGCGGCCTCCTTCCTCCTAGCAACACAGGGCCTCCTAGCCTGTGCCTCGTGAGCCAGGGAGGCCACGAGCAGCCTAGGTCTCCTCCTGAGGACTCCAGGAACCCAAGCTCTCACAGCAGCCACAGACCCTGATTCTGGAGCATGGTGCTGGTGCGTGGTGCTGGTGGCTAGCTCTAGACTGCAGTTAGTCTCTGTACACCAAACCTAGCCTTGACACTTTGATTACGAGGAATTGCTTCCAAGAAGCCGCATTTGACTCCGTGATTTGAATTTTTTTAGCTTTCTCTGGCTGTATGTGGGTATATCTGGCTGGATGTTCGACACCATATGTAGACAGATATTTGGGGGGACACGAGCTCACACACACACACAAAAAGAAAGAAATAGAGACTTATTAAATATGAAAGATCAGCCTCAGCTTAGGCTTGTTCCTAACTAGTTCTTATAACTTAAATTAAGCCATATCTTTTAACGTACACTCTTTTACATACCTCAGTCACCTTTACTTTGTCCTGCCTTTCCTGTGAAGTCTCCATCTCTTCTTCCCAAGGCTCTCTCTGTCCAGAGTCCCTGATATGCCTCCCACCTTGCTATTGAACATTTAGCTTTTTATTAAGCCGTTTAAGTCATACTTCTTCACACAGTGTAAAGGGATAATCCACAACACAGCTCCTAAAATAACTGTCTTTCTTACAATGCCATGCTTTGTTCTCTCAGCCAAATCAACGGTGATCTTTTACTATGCATGAGTCTGAGCCATGTTCCAAACAACTGTACTACATGTTACATTATCCATTTCACCCTCTTTACTCTAAGGTAAGATTCAGGGAGCCTCCTTCCAACCTCTTCCTGCCAGTAGCTGTCTATGAGAGCAAAAATTCCCTCTCTATCCTAGTGTGATGCTGAAAATCTACAATTCCAGCACTGAGCTTCTGAAGACAGGAAGATGGCAGCTATTTCCAGGACATCCTGGGCTACATAGCAAGTTCAAAACCAGCCAGGACAAAATTATGAAATCATGTCTCAAAGTGCAAAAAGTTTCTCCACTTCAGGTTTTAATCATTGTTTGCTCATAAAAAGAGTGAGGGTTGAAGAGTCACAAACTGGTCTTTGTCACCTTCTATAAACTTGAGCTCATGGTCCCACATGCCCTGTATTGTATTTTAATGTTTTAGACAACCCCTTCTTTTATGAGTTCTGATAGTATATCTTCATGTAGAAAAAAAGTACAAGATTTGGGTTTTCTCTCAACACAGTGAATTCAAAATTACAAATCTGTTTAGTGGAGGAGGGGAAAGTAATTTAGACAGAATCTCATGTAGATCAGGATGACTTGTGACTGTTGATCCATCCTCCTGCCTCCACTTCTTGAGAACTATAATTACAGATGTGCACCTCCACACCGAGCTTTAAATTTTTATTTCTTCTTTTTTCCAAGAAAGTGTTTTTCTGTGTATCCTTGCTTGTCCTGGAACTCACGTTGTAGACCAGGCTGGTCTCAAACTCATAGATATCCACCTGCCTCTGCTTCTCAAGTCCTTGTATTGAAGGCAGGTATCATCACTGCCCAGGTTATAATTCTTATTCTTTTTTTTTTTTTTTTTTTTTTTTTTTTTTTTTTTTTTTTTTTTTTTTTTGCATATAGAGTATTTTTTATTTAATTTTATATAACAAAGTCCAATTAAATGAAAACAAACATTTATACACAATATTTGGGAATTTGGGCGTCGTTCTTTCCAAACTACTTCCTGCTGGTAAGGGGCGCTGTCTTGGGGGATTCGAAGAAGATTCAGATATCCTAGCTGTAGTCTGTAGGGCTGTTTTGTCCAGCTGTTTGGAATGTAGGATCAGCTTGTACTCTGTTTCAGGCGGTCTGGTGTGATCAAACCACATTAGTCTGGAAGGAATCCACATCTTTTCATTTTCTGTGGAAACAAAAATAGAAATACTTTTCCCCAGTAACTTGTTCTTCAACTTAAATTTTGGAGTCAAAGCGTTTTTTTTTTTTATTATTATTATTTTACATGTCGATCCCAGTTCCCTCTCCCTCCCTCCCTCCCTCCCCCCCAAGCCCTCCCCTCCCTCCTTCCCTCCCTTTTGCCCTCTCTACCCTCTCCCATGCACTCTAAACACCCTCCCCTCCCAACCCCCCACCACAATACAATATGTAGGGGAATGCCATCCAGTTGGGGTCATGTAGATCTGACAGGTCCTGTGAAGTAGGGACTAGGGCTTCTCTCCTATCTCTAGAATAAGGCAGTTATCCCTCCATGGGGGATATGTTTGCAAAGTCCTTTTGTGCACCAGGGATACATCCTGGCTCCACTGTCTGAGGTCTCTTAGACTGCTCAGACCTTCTGGCTGAGACCCATATTCAGGGGAGTCCGAGTCAGACCTCTGTTGGCTTCCCAGCTATCAGTCTAGTGGCCCTTAGCTCCTCCTTGTTCAGGTAAGCTGTCTCTATGTACTTCTACCGCATGGTCTTGTCCTCTCCATCTGCTTCTGGGTTCTAGTTTGACTCAGTGTTTATGTATGGGTGTTTGCTCCTGTTTTCAACAGGCATTAGTTGAGGACTCCATGGAGAAGTTAGTTGTTGATCTCACTCTCCGGGAAGGGCATTTATGATAGCCTTTCCACGGAAGCTGAGATTGTTAGTTGGGAGCAGTCTTGTAGTTCCCTCGACCTTTCTTTGTGTTCAACTTTATCTTCAAACCAATATTGGCTCCCTCTTTTATGTTCTCTCTCTCTGTCTCTGTCTCTCTCTCTCTTTCCTATTTTCCATTCCTAACCAGGCTCAATCCTCCTAGTCACACATGCCTTCCTCTCCTCCCTCTCATTTTCTCCTACTTCTCTCTCCATTAGCTGTCCTCCCCCACTATACCTGAGGTCTGGGGGACTTGTCCCTTCCCAGTTCTGTGAGGGACTTTATATGAATCTCTTAGAATACAACTTGTATCCTAGTTCCTCTGGTGATGTGAATTATAGGCTGGTGATCATTTGATCTAGGTCTAAAATCCATATATGAGTGAGTACATACTGTGTTCCTCTTTTTGTGACTGGGTTACCTCATTCAGGATGGTTTCTTCAAGTGCCATCCACTTGCCTGCGAATTTCAAGATACCATTATTTTTTTCTGCAGAGTAGTATTCCATTGTGTAGATGTGCCACATCTTCATTAACCATTCTTCAATTGAAGGGCATCTAGGTTGCTTCCAGGTTCTTGCTATTACAAATAGTGCTGCTATGAACATAGTTGAACAGATGTCTTTGTTGCATTGATGTGAATCCTTTGGGTATATACCTAAGAGGGGGATTGCCGGGTCCTGTGGTAAACTAATTCCCATTTTCCTGAGGAACCGCCATACTGATCTCCAAAGTGGCTGTATGAGTTTGCACTCCCACCAGCAGTGGAGGAGTGTTCCACTTTCTCCACATCCTCTCCAACATAAGTCATCACTGGTGTTTCTAATTTTAGCCATTCTGGCAGGGGTAAGATGGTATCTCAAAGTTGTTTTGATTT